ACACCCAGTTTTGTGACTCAGCAGCACCTAACTCAGCATCTTTGGATCTGTTTTCATGCTAGGGCACTGCGGGGCACCGGAAGTGTAATAGCAGGCTGCAGGAGGAAATGAGAGGAGCACATGCTCAGCTATGGAGAAATCTATCCATTTCAATTTCACTCTGTTTCTCCTTCTCCCAGTCTACGTCCGCCACATTCCTGCATCAGTTTGCATATCTTGTTTACAGAAGATCCTCATGAAAATTTGTTAGCATTTTAGCATTCTTTGTACTATGCTGTACATGTTTTTTTCGCTAATGTGTACATTTTTTTGCAAGCAATGTTCCCTAATTTTATGCATGTATGCCAGGGGTGCCTTGAATGATGCTCAGGGCTGCCACAGGCAACACTGACCTCTGTCCCTCTTTCCTTCCCTCCCTCCTCTGATGCCTTATCGCATCTCTGCCTCCAAAAGCCTTGCATGGCTGTTTGTTGCAGCAGCCCTGGCTACAAGCTCTCCAGGCAAATGGTGCCTCTGGGGCTGGCCAGAGAAGAGGAGAGGGGGGCTGAGCAAACACTTTACAAGGGAGGGTGTTTGAAAAGGGGTGAGGGGCTGCCAGCTTTGCAGGCAAGGGGTGACATAACTGGGCTTCTGAGGCTTCCGGAGCACATTTCCCCCCAGGGGAGCTGCAGAAAGAATGTACTTGGTCAAAGGAGCCATGAGACTCAAAAAGGTTGAAAACCTCTGATATATGCTATTCTCACCAGTATTTGTATCTACTGTTTAGTAGAAAAGGAAATCTCCAAGGCGTTTACATGAATTACAATGAGAAAAATACATTCAAATTAAAAATAAAGCAAGTACAGATATTCTTTTTAAATAAAACAGAATATAGCATTTCCCCTTATTCCTCATCTTTATTTATTTATTTATTTATTTATTTAACAAAATCTATATACTGCTTGACAGTATAAAATAAAACAAAGAAAATTGTTGATAAAACCCAAGTCAAAAATATGTGTTAAAAGATTAAAATCAGCAGTAACTAAAATAAGATTAAAACATGCAAATGTCTACGTGTCTGCTTAGGCTTGCCTATCAGAGTGGCTGTGGAAACCCAGCCAGATGGCAGATGGGTGGGGTATAAATAAAATAATATAAAAAAAATTAAAGCAGGCACTGAAAAGAGTACAGTAGAGGCACCTGTCTGATATCAATAGGCAGGGAGTTTCAAAGTGTGGGGTACTGCCACACAGACAGATTGTTTTCTATAAGTGTGGAAGGAGTATTACATGGCACCTGTAAGTGATCCTGCAAGTTAACTGATCTCAAGCTGTTGAGGGCTTTACATACTAATAGTTACACCTTGGCATTGGCTATAATTTTAAGACTGAATGGGGTAATAAAAGTAACTCTGCACCTGATCAAAGACATTTCCCCGCCTTACTTCTCGTCAGGAGGTGTTGAAAACCTCCCTCCCCCTCTCTTTTCCCATCATTTCATTTATTAATTGCTTCCTATGGGGAGACCCGGGACGCGGGTGGCGCTGTGGGTTAAACCACAGAGCCTAGGACTTGCCGATCAAAAGGTTGGTGGTTCGAATCCCCGCGACGGGGTGAGCTCCCGTTGCTCGGTCCCAGCTCCTGCCAACCTAGCAGTTAAAGTGCAAGTAGATAAATAGGTACCGCTCTGGCGAGAAGGTAAACGGTGTTTCCCTGTGCTGCTCTGGTTCGCCAGAAGCGGCTTAGTCATGCTGGCCACCATGACCCGGAAACAGTACGCCGGCTCCCTCGGCCAATAAAGCGAGATGAGCGCCGCAACCCCAAAGTCGTCTGCGACTGGACCTAATGGTCAGGGGTCCCTTTACCTTTATGGAGAGACCCAGCCAGATGGGCGGGGTACAAATACTAAATTATTATTATTATTTACAATATAATAAATATTGTTACGGTTTGGGGGTGTTAAGCTTGGGTGTCATGATCCTTCCAAATCCTGGATCCAGTAAATGTTAAACTATAAGCCAGGCTAGCTTTCATTAAGAGAACAAAGGATTAAAGGGCCTCGGTGCAATACAAAAAAATGGGCTTGGCCCCCTCCCTCAACAGACAAAGCCAGAGTTTGGAGTAGAATTTTTGGGATGTGATGTGAACTAGAAGCTAGAAGTAAAGCAGCAAGCAGGAGAGAGAATTTTACAAAGGTGAAATCCACATTCATTGCCCAAATTTGCCTCTGGCCTTGTGGTGTCTGCAAGGAATGTGACCTGGAAAAAGTTACCGTACATGCCTGATTCGGATGCTACTTTTAAAGGGGTGTGTGTGTGTGTGTGTCCGTTGCCGCACTCCCGCTGCATCTGAGCCCAATCCCCACCACCGCCTTGAAGAAAGAGCAAATTATTATTATTATTATTATGTTATTATTTATTCAATTTATATACCACCCTTTCTCTAAAGATCCCAGGACAGTGTACAACATTGAGAACATAATTTACCCAGCATAAGAATAAAACCACAATAAAAAAATTAGAACAGGTTCTGCCCCCTACATTGAACAGGTCATAGAATGGTTGAAGACCTGGGTAAAGAGGAATGTTTTCTCCCGATGCCTACAGACATGTAATGATGGCGGCAGGTGAGCCTCTCTGGGAAGAGCATTCCATCTGTACTCAGATGACAATTGCAGGGCCTAGGGCTGGGGCTGGACACATCAAAGAAGCGTTTACGGTAAGTTAAACGTGTTGCTAACTTTGTATGAGAAATTGGGTAAGCAAAACATGGAACTCCACAGCGCCACCTGGTGTCACAGTGTTAGAATGCATAAACAACACATATAAAGCGTTTTTTCTTTGCCAATGTAGCTGAGTCTCAGGTCACTTTGTACGGGGAGAGGAGGTCCTGAGTTGTGTAAGGCTTGATAGTTCAGCACCAGCATTTTGAATTGGGCCCGGAAACTGACAGCCAGTGCAATTAGTGGGTAGGAGCAGGTTGCCCTCATTCCACTGCACTCCCCCTCTAGATTAGGCAAGCAGGCAGCAGTGGTAAAAGGACTGGTGCCCCCCCCCAATTGCTGATGTGTAGGCCTTGGCACGTGCTTGAGGATGCTGATGTCTGGCACTGGCTCTGCACTCTGCACATGTTTAGAAGCAGCTGCTGTCACAGTGTGGAACTGGTGTGTGTATGTGTGTGCTTGGACCTCTTAATGAACCTCCTCAGCATCAAATCCTAGGGGCCAAGTTCTCTTTGGACCCTAATAATAAGAATATTTATATGCCACCCATCTGATTGGGTTTCCCCAGCCACTCTGGGCGGATCCCAGCAAAATACTAAAAACACAGTAAAACATCAACCATTAAAAACTTCCCTGAACAGGGCTGCCTTCAGATGTCTTCTAAAAGCCAAATAGCTGTTTATCTGTTTGACACCTGATGGTGATACCTGGGTGTCATGACCTGGGACCCAGGTGGATGTCCTGGCCCAGGAAGTATGTCAGAACTCCCAGCACACGCACAGCTATGCTCCCATCCTCTGTCCCAGATCATGTTTCTGATACACAACTGACCTTCGCCTGCTCTTTCCACAACACTGCATGTCTTTATTTGGCTAAAAAGGACCAGCATTATTTCCAGACCTCCTTTGTAGGGTAACAATGGGAGGGGGGTTCCACAGGGCGGGCGCCACCACCAAGAAGGCCCTCTGCCAGCTTCCCTGTAAAATATTTGAGGCCATTCCTTCCCCTCAAGTTGATCGACACTGCCATTCAAATGGTGTGTGCGCGATTATGTGGGGCAGGGCTTACCTGGGATCCCCAATATTTTATTCAAGTTGGCACCCTGCCCCCCAGTTACTCTTTCCAGGAGGCATGGTTTGTCTATAATTGGGGGGAGTCATGGTACACATGTATTTTATTAAGAGGAGGCACCTCAAAGAATCATAGAAGGGACCACGAGGGTCATCTTGTCCAAGCTGCTACAATGCAGGAATCTTTTTGCCTACATGGGGCTTGAACCCACGACCCTGGTCATAGCCAGAATTTTTGTTGGAGGGGGAGACTTTTGTTAGGGGGTGCACTTGCCCCCGGCTATGCCCATGCCCTGAGATTAAGAGTCTCATGCTCCACACATGGTTTGTCTAAAATTGGGGGGAGTCAATGGTACTTCATGGCCCTCGGGGTGTGTGTGTTTGTATGTAATCTATCTGAATTTGCTTCCTGTCACATGGCGTAGCGGGGTGGGAGTTGGGGAACAGAGATCCCCCAAATCAAGTAAATAAAGGAAAATAATTGATTACTGACCAATTGCGTTGCAGATAAAAGACCCTCCAAGTGTTCCTATTTTCCAGGGACAGTCCCCGATTTACAGAAGCCGTCCCAGTTTCTGATTTGATCCCGAAATGTCCCCTTTTCCTTAGGCCGCCCCTATTTTTATAGAAGAAATGTTGGAGGGTATGGAGTTATCTGACCCACAAGCTGTCTGAAGGCAGCCCTGTATAGGGAAGTGTTGTTTTTTTAAAAAAAATGTTTAATATTTTGATATATATGTTGGACGCTGCCCAGAGTGGCTGGGGCAACCCAGTTTGGGGTATAAATAATAAAATTATGATGGTGGAATGGGACCTCCCTATTTTCATCGGAGAAATGTGGGAGGGTATGAGATAACTCGCTTCTGCCCCCCAACATAAAGCCTGCCACCACCCCATAAAATAAACCCTGGCCATGGCCATGTGCTGCCACAGTGGGAGAAGAAGAGCCGCTCTGCACGAGCTCAGAGGCACCCTCGCCACCCCGGGGTGGGGGCAAAGAACACAGGAACCCTCCGCAGAGGCGGCGAGGGGAGGCACCGGGGTCTCTTTTCAAAGTCTGCCCGTGCCGAGCGAGCAGCCCCCGGTGACCTCCGCGGGGGTTTCATCCGAGAAAGCGGCACGCCGCTGTCCGCGCAGCGCTGCCCCCTGCCGGCGCCGTCGATTCCCGGGCCCCGTTTCCTTCCTTCCCCTTCTCCTTCCCCCTTTGGCTCCGGCGACGTCGATCCGAAGCGAGGCGAGCTGGTTTCCCCCTGCGGAGGCCGGCCGCGTCCCCGGGCTCTCCGGCCCCGCTGAGCCCCCGCTTGAGGGCGTGTCCTCCCGGCGCCCCCCAACCTTTCGCTGCTGGCCGGGGGCGGCGAGAGGAGGAGACCGGCGTCGCGGGAGGAAGTGGAAGCGGCGGCGGCGAATAGCGGGCAGGCGGAGAAGGCTTTGCAAGCAGCCGCGCACCAAGGACGCTCCGGAGACTCGCCCGCTTCGCCCGGTCTTTCCCGTCCAGGCTCCGGGTTCCCGCCGCCTCGGGCCATCGCGGCTCCTGGGAGGCGGGAGGCGGCGGCAAGCAAGCAAGCAGCAGCTAGCCTCCGCCTCCGCCTCGGCGCCTGCTCCATTATAAAACGGGCAGGGGAGGAAGGAGAAGCCGGAGAGGCTCTTCCCGTCGCCTCGGAGCCTTCCGGGATTCGCCTCGCCGCCGAGGGGCCTGCAGAAAAGGGTTGCAACCAACTTGCTGCTTGCTGCTGCTGCTGCTGGAGGATCTGAGCCCTTCAAGAAGCCCTTTGGCGGGGCGAAGTTTCCGGATGGCTGCTGAGAGATTTCCCTCCCTGGCCATCCCCGCCTCCCTCTCCAGGGGTCCTGCTGCTTAAAAGGAGCGAAATCCCAAATAGATGTGAAGCAGGAAGCTTAGAGACCTGCCCTCCCCCTCCCCCTCCAGAGTGCCCAGGCACCCGAGAAAGACTGAATGGGTGTCCTGTAGAGACAGACACGCGCGTGCATATAGAGAGATATATGCAGATTTCCAAGTGAGTGCCTGCATCTTTTTTCTTTTTGCATACGGGGTGCCTTTCCTGACGCGCACGCACCCTCCTGCTCCTCCTCTTCTTTTTTTCAAAAGAATAACTTGCTCCGGGGTGCAAGTGGAAGGGAAGATGCAGACGTTTCTGAAAGGGAAAAGGGTTGGCTATTGGCTGAGCGAGAAGAAAATCAAGAAGCTGAATTTCCAGGCGTTCGCAGAGCTTTGCAGGTAAGGAGCGAGGATCGGCGGTTTATTATGCTATGTGTGTGTTTGTGACAAAAGAACCTCCCTTTCCCTTTTCTCTGGGACTCTTCTTTAACTTGGCACTTGAGCATCCCTCCCTTCTCCCGAGGATGTGGATGTGACGGGCCTCTTGCTCCTTAATCATCATCGTCTGGTGAGCAAATTGAAGGAGCAGTTGCACAGTGCAGCTTGGCTTAGAACCTCGGTAATTGCCAGTTGGGAAATCCAGCCCTACAAATCATAACAACACCCTGATCAAGGTGGAAAAAAAAGGAAAAGTGCCCAAAGCCATGATGATGTGAAAAGCTTATAATTTGCTTGGCTTCCTCTCCACCCCCACCACCCCTCTCCTGATTCACCAAAAACAGATGGGGTATAATGTGCGGCTTTGGGGATTATGTAGACATGTGCAAGGTTCCTGAATAACATATTGAGGAAAGTTGCAGCCACGCTTGTTGTTGCTTGCGAATTTCCTGCGGCGTAAATGCTCTCGTTGGCAAACTGGTCCACCAAGGCAGTTTCCTAAACACTGGAATAGGCAAAAATGACAGAATGTTGGTAAGCTCTCTAATGGAGCGAGCCACATACATCTGAAGAACTAATAGACTGCCTCACTCAGTTTTGCCTTCCTGGACCAAGCATCTTTTTGCAATGACAGCCTCATCTCCCTTCTCCTTTGGAAAGTGCAGCGGTGGAAAGGGTTCTCTCCCAAGCCAAGATGGGCCTAAACGTTGCAAGAGCCTTTTTGCAGAAACCTAAAGAATGTGAAAGGCACTTCAGGGTCTCTCTTGCGCTTTGCTGTTTGGGAGTTCGATTAAACCTCCATTTGCATGCTCCTGTTCAAAGACTTCTAGGACTTATTAATGGGGAAAGCAAGACAGACTCTTGCTTTGGGTTGAGAACCAAAATGGTAACATAATGGTTCGTGCTACTAAGAACTGAAGAAATGAATGAGCCGATTGTCTTGGTATATAACACAAGGTTGAGTTATATAGTGGTCTCGCTGAAGACAGTGGGGGGTTTCATACGGCTATTTGGGAGACTTCTTGAATGGTTAAACACTATTTTATTTCATTTTTTGCCAGCTGTAAGAAGTTATTTTTCAAAGGTGGCCGTTTTCCATGACTTCTGTTATGTGTGGCTGCAGCTCTATTCAGCCACTGTTCTGTGCTGCTTATTACCCTTGTCTTGACCTGAATTCCCCAAATCAAATATTCCAGATAATATTTTAAGTTAAAAGCAAGCGAGAACAATCAAGTCTTTATTCATAAACACCCAGACAACAGTCTGACCGTGTTGCTAATCCAAGGGTACTTTCTTTGCTCCTTTAACAAAAAAGAAAGAAAAAGGGAGAGATTTCATCTGTTTGACTATACTGTCTAAGCAGTATCTCCAAGTCTTTTTGACTCAAAATGCAATGCATGAACTTCCTCAGTGCTTTCTGCAAGGCCCTGGCAAAATGCTGGGGGTGGTCGCCGTTGTTCCCCCTCCTGCTGCATCACAAGTTTATGAAGGGGAAGATATTCAACTAGATGTGAGCATCTGGGAACCTGAGCAGATCCTAGCTGTGTGAGCAGAGTGCCCTATGAGGGTATGCCGAAGGAATTTTATGTCCTCCCAAGTCGAAGGAAAGCCTTTTGGGTTACTTACGCAACTCGACGTGTCCTAGAACATAGAAATACTTGCCTTGTGCTGAATGAGACCATTGGTCCGGCTAGTTTGGTACTGTCTATGCTAGCCTGCACCAACCCAGTGTTCTGCATGTTTTGGATTGCAACTCTTGTCAGCCCCAACCAGAATGGGCAGTGTCAAGGATGTTTGCGATTTGTAGTTTAAGACAGCCGGAGGACACCAGATTGGGAAGGCTGTGGGCTCTCCGGGATTTCAGACTTTCCTTTCCTTTTTAATTTGTTTTAAGTGTGAACATTTCATGATGTGGACTTAAAAACACCGGAAGCTGCCTTATATCAAGGCAGACTCTTGGTCCACCTAGTATCTGGTTCTTTCATCTCTTTGAGGCTGGTGCTTGTAATAGTGCTTAGCCTTTTTAGCAAGTGCAACACAAGACAAGTTTGAATAGTATAGACAGTATATATCCAGCCCCATTGGCCTGTCGCGATGGCGAGCAGACTGGGGAAAAGTCATCCCTTTCCGGATATAGCAAGGTCTGTGGGTCTGGCTACTTTGCAAGGAGTGCTGCAAACTCCCACGATGTGTTTAGCCCCCGTAACATGGGAAAGCGATTAAACCCCGGTTGCATCTAATAAACAGTAGCAAGGGGCAGGCCTGACAACGAGGCAGTGGTAGAGTGGAATTTTAGAATCTGTACTCAAAGTAACAGGAATCCTGCACTTAATAAGATAGGCAGGGTGCGTGTATTTTGTTACTGAGAAAATAATTTACTAGTTCAGACATTGCTGGAGCACCCCTGCACCCCGGCTGCTAGTTAATGGTAGATTTGATGCAAAGTTGCATTGAATTCTTCCACGATTCCCACCTGTTTTTTAGCTGGAGGAGATAGCAAACCTCCTCTAGCCCCACCCCCTTGCTGAATATATTATGAGTTGAGTTTGACCATTTATTAGAATTTGTCCAGTATGTTTCTATGTCCTGTATCAAAGCATACAATCTCCTCAAGGTGTAGGTGGGGTTTTCTCCAGTCTCTGAGCAGTTCTCATGTAACTTACATTGAGAGTGATTGCACGAACCCCTTATTTTGCTCAGCTGAGATGTCACAGTCCCTTATTTCCAAACTATGGTTTGGTGACCAGGGAGCAGCACACTGTGGGTTCCTGTGCACCCTCTTATGAATGATTCCCCCCCCCCCCGCCTCTCTTCCATAGTTTGCTGTAACAGTAGCTTAGTGTTACATATATATTTCAGCTAAATATGGCTTGATTTAACCAGGATTGCCCCAAACCATGGTTTGGAGATCCATGTCAAAACCTTGGTTCCAAATCATGGTTTGAAAGCCCAGTCTAATGCCAATCAACACAGTTCTTTTAGGGTCATGAGTACAGTATGTAACTAGCTATAATGGCTGTGCTCTGTCTCCACCTTCAGAGACAGCCATGTTTCTTACTACAAGTTGACCAATGCAACCAACACCTGCATCTTCAGCATGATTCCTGATTCCATTGCATCTTACTTCCCCAAAACTGATCAGTGCTTTTTCTTATGGTCCCTCATTCCATGCTACTTCTGCCACCACCAGCTCCTCTTTCTAGGCTGCTTTTGGGTTCCAGCTTGTTATGAAGGAGAAGCAGGGCAGGTCAATAATAATAATAATAATAATAATAATAATAATAATAATAATAATAATAATAATAAATAATTAATAATAATTTATTATTTCCCCAGCCACTCTGGGCAGCTTCCAATACAATATTAAAAAACAGTAAAGCATCAAACATTAAAAGCTTCCCTAAACAGGGCTGCCTTCAGATGTCATCAAAAATCTGGTGGTAGTTGTTCTCTTTGACATCTGGTGGGAGGGTGTTCCATAGGGCAGGTGCCACTACTGAGAAGGCCCTCTGCCTGGTTCCCTGTAACTTGACTTCTCACAGTGAGGGAACCGCCAAAAGGCCCTCGGCGCTCGACCTCAGTGTCCAGGTAGAACGATGGGGGTGGAGACGCTTCTTCATTGGGTTGTGAAGGAACGATCGATCTGCATCTGCAGAGCATTTTCAGGTGTGATGTCACAAGTGCCTTTGAGCCTTGCTTGTTTCTGTAAACAATAGAAGATCTAAGAAAGGTATGTTATCATTGGATATATACCTCCTGACCTGGTTGGAGGCCCAGCCTGAAATTCCTACTGAAGTCACGAAATTCTCAGGACCAAGCAGGCCGCTTTGTCAGTCTCTTTATCTCTTAAGTAGGGAAGATCGGAGATAAGAACTGTAAAGTCAAGTTCTTCATACCAGGAAGTGTTATGTAAGTAAAACATTACTGACAACTCTGGTGTTTACCCCGCAAGCACCAGAAAATTTAGGGACAGAGGGAGAGCTCGACATGGAAATACGATAGCAGCCTCACTAGCTTAAACATACCGTGGAAAAGTTACCCGAGAAGGCTCTTTAAAAAATAATAACGGAGGCAATTTTGATACACAGTTGGGGAAACTTTTCAACGAGGTTGTATGAACCTCTTTGATTAATACTCTACTCTTTGCAAATCTTTACAGAAGTATAACACGCACATGTCTACACTGATTTTTTATTTATTACAAATGTGTTTTGGTAGATAATCTCTGCAAAACTGCAGCATAGCCAACTGTTGCATTCCCAAGTGCAAGCTCGCAGTGTCTTTGACATGCACAAATCATGACTTGTCGTCATGGCAATCAATCTGGATGAACTGGATGAGAGGAGAAATCGAGGGGATTGGGGGAGCAGCCAACCATATGGAGGATGATCGTGTATTTTGGCCCTCTTTTCGCAGAAAAGGGGGAACAGACAGTAGGAATATTTTTTGCAGCCTGTCAATTGCAGCTTCCGGTTCTGATCTGATAGAATTGTAGAGTTGGAAGGGATCCTGGGGGTCATCTAGTCCAACCCCCTTGCAGTGCAGCAATCCTGCCCACAGCTGTCTCTGGTTGGGCTTGAACCAGCAGTCTTCTGGTAAACAGCCAGATGCACTGACTGATTGCTCCATGAGGATGATGGCTGTACTTTTGGAGTGTTGTTATGTTTTTCTTTATAGAGAGATTCAGTTTTCTTTTGTCAATTGTGCATAAGGAACTGAAGCTGGACTTCTGTCCCCCCCCCCCCAGCATCTATATCCCATTCTTCAGCTGGAAAAGTTCCCACCATGGCTTTTTAATAGGCTACCCTCTATTTTTATTTATTTCTTTGCCAAGCTTTTTTAGAGAATTGTTCTGATTCAGTGTTGGTCATTTGTTCTGTATATTATTGATTACCCAGTAGGGATTCATCGGGCACCATTTGTTTTAACTTTTAAACCTTTGCTAAAAACATTTCTATGCT